AACTGGACTTCCATCTTCCAGGTCCCTGAGTGAGGCTCTAGTATCAACTCACGCAATCCACTGGATCTCCCCATAAAGCTCAGCATACTGTCTCACTAACCAGCAGTCTACAGACTGACCAACTTCATCTATCTCCACTCCACCACCAGTTTCAGGCCTGAGGGGGAAACAGCCCTATTCTTTGCTCCTGTTCATGCATATCTATCAAAATTAAGCGCTATGTTTCCTCCCACGGTCTGAGCGCCAAAGACAAAGTAATTGTATCAATGAATTTTTTCCTAATTGTCTTTTCTCTTCGTGTGAGTTTTTCAGACTGAAATACATATTTGTAAATCCCCTTGCTTTACCTTATGTGACTCATTGTATGAAAATTGGGGCAACAGGTAGAAAAACATCAGCAAACAAAAACCCCTTTCTCATATTTTGTATTTAATTTTCTTGTCTTTAGTTCCTAGCACTTTGGGACAGACTTGATGTAATGTATTAAAAATATGTATAGTATTATAATTATTTAGCATTATCATTATCTTTATGTGAAGATTGATTTTTTCATTAATCCCTCCCACTTAACTGTTAAGAAACTTTACTTTTACAGCCACTCTGAAACTTCCAGTACACATGCAATCTGCACATTTTGATGCTTCAGAACCAATTTAGTTTGCATGTCTTCACAAATGTGAAGTAATCTTTGTAGAACACCAGCAAAATGCTGGTTTACTACAAATGTAAAAAATAAATACTTTTCCATGTGCAATTTAGTCCAATTTATCTGGAATCTTTGAAGATAGGGTCCAAAGTGTCAGGGTTGGTGGATGTTGTTTTAGACCCAAATTCAGATTAGAGGAGGCAGATATCATATTTGCAGTTCTAATGCTAAAGTAGATGGTACAAAAATATAAATCCAGAAATAAGAAGCTGGGAACTCAGAAACCAAAAACTAGAAAAGCTCAGGAGAAACATACATGACGAAATGAAGTAATGAAGAGGATCCAACAATGAGGAAATACACAGGAGGTGTATATATGGGGGACACGACAAAGAATAGGATAAACAGCTGATATGGAGCAGGTGGTGTTGGAAGTAACTAGAACACTGGCGTAACTTTCTGAAAGACTGGTGTAGACATGTCCCCACCAACTTTGGACATAGAGGGGACAGTCCCCACCAATAATTTCTGCTTTTTATTTTTCCTTTTCCTTTCCGCCGATATACGTTAGCCAACAGTAACTGGGGTTGGGTGCAGCTGTCTGTGTTGAGAGAGTCATTTTTTTTCTCTCTCCCGCCGCTCTCAAGTCCCACCTCTTGGTGAAATATCATCGGATTTGTTGCTTTGGGACATAATATTATCTGGGGTTGCATTTCACTGCTTACAGAGTCGCTACGAGTCGGAGGAGACACAGTATATGGCACGCGGTTTTCACATAAATTCGGTTTTATCTGACCAACTTGGGTAAGCCGTTTTAACATAAATTCGCAGCAGCACTCAGTGAATTTTAACTGGCAGCTATTCTGATATATGTTTAAGTAAAAGTTAGGAGACTGGTTGGTTAAAAAATCAGAGATGCCTCCAAAAAATCAGTTTGTTGCATACAGAGCTTTTTCAGCTGAAAAATGGCAACATATTGTACATTTGTACGTTAAAAAAAACACTGGGCTTCTCATAAGACCATTACTCAGAGTTATATATTAAAATTAATACATATCTGTTGTTTTATCATTGAACAGAGAATCAGAGTGCAGAGCTTCTAGAGATCTGGACAACTATTTTCTCTGGCATCATTATATTGGTAGACTGGTTCATAAATCTGTTTTTAAGCAGAGCAGAGACACAATTAGGGAGAGCTGCTGATTTAAAGGTGAAACAGATTTACTGGGATATGCAACATGCAATAAAATACAGTATATCTAAGTTTACAAGAAGAAATATGCAATGCTATAATAAAATTCATCATCTAATTTTGTCTTTTTTAGTTCAACAAGTCTCAGAA